CCCTCCTGTTTTGTGTGTTTTTACTGTTTTTTATATGTAGTTGTTTTTATGTATTTATTTTTTAATTGTTGTACGTCGCCCAGAGTCACCTTGTATGAGATGGGCGGCTATATAAATATAAATAAATAAATAAATAAAATTCAACAACATTATGGTCTTTCTCAGATTTTACACCTATAAACAATAAAAATACTGAACATCAAAATTTGACAATGGATTATCACAAAGAGACTTTCTGAAGATTCACCTTCCTTCACATTGAGTTACAATGTTACCTTCAACACAATTAGGGAGAAGAGCTTCCAGATTAGTCTTGCTAAGAAAGGAAGAGAAACCAAAGACAAGAAAGGCAAAAATCTCAGAAAGGAACTTAACAATGAGTTTCAGAGAGCTGATAGAAAAGACAAGCAACAGTATTGCAACAACATCTATAAAGATGAAGATGGAAACAGACATGGAAAAATAAGGATAGTCTTCCAAAAGATATCTGAATTCAAAAGGAGATTCCAACCTCAAATTGGTATGCTAAAGGATGCCAGTGGACAGACAGTAACTGATTCAAAGAAAATTAAAAACAAGATGGAAGAAGCATACTGAAATACTGTACAGTAGTGATGTCAACATCCAAGATATCTTAGAAGATGTTCCCTACTTACAAGAACCTTTAGTACTAGAAGATGATAGATCAGCACTCTAGCTGTTACCAAGTCAAGGCTATAGGAACTGATGGAATACCCACAGAAATATGTCAAGCAACTGAAAAAGAATCAGAAAGGGTTCTAACTAAACTATGCCAGCAAATCTAGAGAACAACAAAGCGGCCAACAGATTGGAAGAGGTCAATCTACATTCCAATAACAAAAAAAGGAGACTTAACAGAGTGTGCAAACTATCATACAATATCCTTAATTTCACATACTAGCAAAATAATGCTTAGGATCATCCAACACAGATTACAGCCCTACATGGAAAAAGAGATGCCAGGTGTTCAAGCTTACTTTAGAAAAGGCTAAGGAACATGAAACATTATTGCTGATGCATGTGGAAAAGCCAAATAATGCCAAAAGGAAGTCACTATGTGCTTCATTGATTAGAGAAATGCCTTCAATTATGTCGATCACGTCAAGTTGTAGAATGTGCTCAGAAAAATGGGAACCCCAGAACATCTCATTATCCTCATGAGAAACTTATATAGAAGTCGGGAAGCCACAGTACAGGCAGAACATGGTGAGACAGACTGGCTCAAGGTTGGCAAAGAAGTGAAATAAGGCTGCGTATTCTCCCCTTATTTATCAAATCTATATGCTGAATATATATTAAGGGAGGCTGGATTGGAAGAGTATGACTGTGATTTTAAAACTGGAGGAAGAAACGTCAATAACCAGTACAGTATGCCACCAAGTCTATTGGAGTTGGGTGGCTAATAAATTTAAATAAATAAACAATTTTAAAAAAAAGATCTGAAAGACCAGGTTAGGGAAAGATCATTATGGAGAAAATCTATCTATGTGATCACTAAGAGTTGACACCAACTTGATGGCACATAATTCATCAATCAAAAGAGAAATGCCATTGTGATATATTACTACTAGACTGAGAGGGACAGGATTATATCCTCACTCAATAAGTACAGCTATCCTTCCATTTTGTTCTTCATATTTCACCATACCAGAGTACTCATTATATATGTATTTTGGATGAAGGTAGCAATTAACAGCAAAGATACACATCAGAACTGCTCGGGATAAATTGTCTAATATAAATGTTTACAATAATATTTTAATCTGTCAGAAAATACTCCATGTGGTATAGTTAATAATGCATATGATATGATTTTCGTAATTTCTTAAGTTATAAAATACTGAAAGTACACTATGTAGTAGTTGTACACCAATACATACAATTAATTGCTTCTTTCATGTTAACAATGTATTACTTATTACTTAGTAATTCTGTTCTTTCTCCAAGCAGTGAAATAATAATTTATTTTGTCAACAAAGCATCATCATCATCATCATCATCATCGTTTTTATCCCACCTTTTTTATATATTTTGGTCAACCCAAGGCAGTAAATATGCCTAATACTCCTACCTCCTATTTTCCCCACAATAACACCCCGGTGAGGTGGGTTGGGCTGAGAGAGAGTGACTGGCCCAAAGTCACCCAGCCAGCTTTCATGCCATAAACTCTACAAATTTAGAAAGTCATTTAAGAATATCTCAATAACATTGCAAAGTTATTTAATAACATGATGGCATGGAATGAGCAATTTGTTTTCTGTGTAAAACAATGAAAGAATCATTTGTACTGCAGTGATACGTTTGTGCTGGTAGAATGCTACTAGTGATAAAACCCTTTAAGTGCAAAGAAGTACAAATAGATGGAGAGAGAGTAGCAGGAGTGGGTTTGGAAGAAATCTTTACCTCTTACAAAGATGTAATCTTAGTTAAACTGCAAACCAATTGTGGTGCAAGTTGAAATATCCTGAAGATAATGGACACTCCCAAATGATTTTTACCTCATTTCTCCTCCCTCTTTGTCCCAAAGAGGATGCAATTCAAACAGATTCTATAGTCTGCATTAATATATATAAACTCCAGGTACAGAACATATACCAAGCTGCCTGGAAAAGGACTGCAGCAGTGTCCCAATACAAAAAAAATGGAGCTTTGATCATGGAATGGAATGGTAATGGAAAGGCATCTTGCATAAACAACTTCTACTCCACACTGAAGATACAGTGGTACCTCAGGTTACGAACGCCTCTGTTAACGAACTTTTTGGGTTACAGCCAGCTCCGGCCGCAAAAATTTACCTCGGTTTGCGAACTCCATCTCGGGGTACGAGCAGGATACATGGCCATTTTCCCTCCTGTGACATGGTCCACGGCCATTTTTCCGCCCCTGACACGTGCTCCGCGGCCTTTTTCTGCCCCTGACACGTGGTCCGTGGCCATTTTCTGCCCCTGACACGTGGTCCGCGGCCATTTTTCTGCCCCTGACACATGGTCCGTG